CAATAATAGAGTTAGAAGGCGAAAGACTGTGGCTGTTACAAGTAGCAGCTGTTCTGGGGTTTGGTTATCCTCGGTGGTTGTTTATAATTGATATAAATAATAAATCATTTGGTAAATTTATTGTTTTCTTATATAGTAGTGTTATATCTTACCATATCTTAAGATATATATTAAGGAAAATCATTTTAAGCTTGTAAACTATTTCTTAGAAGTCTTTTGCTTCTTAAAGCTTTTTGTTCAGCCTTAAGAATGTATTTTAAAGAAATTTAAGCATTTATTAATAATTTTATTAGTTAATTCTTACTCCATATTAGTTTGTTAGATTAAAACATTAACTTTATATCTTTGTTATAAAAGGCAACTATGAAGCCCCCACAAATATGCAATGCAAATCCGAGCAAAATGCAGTTGAGATGCAGAAATGCATAACTTTTTACCTCCAACCTTAACTGCTAGGTATATAATCGTCGACTCTAATAATCTACTAACTTCTTGTTCTTGGTTATTGAGGCGTGCGTGAACAATTCGAGGCGTGGGAACTCGAATCACTTGGGTTCTCGATTCAAAATTTTCGATCCGCCATCCGCAATTCTCAATGAACCTGGCCCCAAGCTGAGGTTGCTCTTTAGCGCCCAGAAACCTGGGCTTATATCAGTAAATGGAGAGGTGGTATTTCTTTTTTTTTTTTTTTTTTTGGTTGGCCCGGCTCTTTGGCCCCAGGGCGCCTGTCCGTGTTTATGGGCTCACTGACAAACTGACAACTAAACTCAATTATGGCCTAATGAAATCGGAAATTGGGAAAAAAGAGACAGCGTTTGCCGAATAATGAGAACTGCCAACGCCCCGCTGGATAGCCGCAGAAACAGAATTAATTATTGTTAACCGTAACAGTTTTTGTTTGTAAAACTGCCAGGCATGTGTCAAGGAAATTGGGTCAGAAATCGTTGTCTGGGCCCAGGGCACCAGAATCGCACTGTCCGCAAGAAACGAGAAACTCGTTTGGACCCAAGTGAAAAGATTTTTAAGTATATTATATACATTATATAGTATATACTATATAGAGGGTACAAATATCCACCCACAAATGAACTCTTGTTCAATTTGTCATGCCGAGCATGACAATCGAATCGGCGTCAATCGATCGATGGCCTATGGCCATGCTAAGTAGATTGATGGCAGACCTATGCCAAATTAGAAAAATTAGAATAAGAACGTGGTACCTGGTAGCTGCTGGCTGCTGACTGATAGCTGATGGCTGTTAACTGGAATTGGGGGTCATAAATACGAGCGGTTAATGAACGCCGTTAAATGGTTGACAATGCAAATCGTTTAACAAATGTCAGGCAGTTAAGCACATTTGTATGGATAGTACAACCCATTGATTTCGCAATCCATGGCTTTGCAAATCGATAGATCGATCGTTCGATCGATCGATCGACGGGGGCCTTTTAATCCGGTCTTCGAGCAGATGTGCGTCGTCAAGAGCTAAGCACATATTAAAGTACAGAGTGTGTGTGGTTGTGTGTGTGCGGCACACCTTCTGATTAAGAGGTGGTAGAGCCATGGAAGAGCCAACTAAAATGTTACTTGTGAAACTACACATTGGCATACTGGCACTGGCACTGGCACAGGCACTACCCACTAAGAAAACACCGTCTGTGACTAAGTTCGAGTATGTGGGTCTGTTTGCTCAACAAGAGCATGTGTACATTCACCGCTTTTTTTCAAGTACATCAACCTCGAGTGGATCACGTTGGGTTACCAAATAGAATACACTTGTGCCAAACTATTATTCATAAATATTAATATTCGTCTATAAAATGCCTTATTTGCTACCCCCGTTTGCCCTCATCTTGGGTCATAGTCGAGACAAAGCTGCACTGGTTAGCCCACTTGCGGAGCAACCTTCCAAATTGGTAACGGAGACGAATCCGATAAAGCCGAAGTGGTTCCATTTGCCAAATTTGCATCGAGATATCTCCTTTTCAGTGCTAAACAGCGTGCAATTAAAATTAAAGCAATAATTGCCTTGCCATTGTTGTGAGCCATCAAATTTGTTAGTTTTGGTCGTCCCATTAATAAAACATTTTCGGTGGAGTTCGAAAAATGATTTCCTCATTTGTCGCCGAGGTCGTGATGGGAGAAGCACAATGGGGCATCTTTATGTCGTCTCCCGTCCCGGAAGCCTTTAAGTACTCTGCCCTTTTCCAGTGCTTCTGCTCGTTAAGGGATTGCGTGGAGAGGGGGCCCATTTTTTACGCCTCACCCAAAAGTCCGTGAGGAAAACCATCTGCTCCCCATAATTATCGGACTCTAGACTAGGCCAATAGCGTTTGGTTCTTGTAAACATGTCAAAGTGAAAACAAACTAATTGCCTGAGCACATCCGACAGCTGCGCAAATCTGTATTTAAATCTTAACAGATCTGCTCTTTTATATATGTAATATATATATTCTATGAAGGGGGGTGGAGGGTGAATCCATCAAGGCCAGCTGAAATTTTGGATGACCAAACATTCATAATTTTTGAATGTCAAGTGCGTTAGGCGCTGACTACTGACTACTCGAACCCAGATGCTATTCAAATTCAGAGCGAATTTCGAAGGAAGGGCATTAATTTTGATGGCTTCTAATTGTCAGAAATAAAAACGGGCTTTTAATGGAGTCCACAGATCTTTTGGGCTATACCATATATTGAATACCAAGAATTTTCGTCTTGTCATTCGCATGGCACTGGAGCTGTTAGATGATTCTTGTAAAATCCCTTGCTCACCCAGCGGACATACATACAAATAATAATAATAATAGTAATTTCAACACATTTTGATGGGAACTGTCAAAAAAATTAAGAAATTCCAGCAGTACTATGGCCATCAGCGCCATCCAGCGATCCAGTCTTGTTGCCGGCCGTTCATTCGTTCGTTCGTTCGCCTAGTTAATGAATATAATCTCTTTTGATGGATTGAACAGTCCCCCCAGCATAGTGCCAAAAACCCAAAGCCCCAAACACCCAACCCAACCAGGTCTCAAAATGCGGCTTTCAATAACCAACTGACAAACTTCCATCTCGCCATGAACTTGGCGTAACTTTGTTACCTTTTTTTTTCACTGTTTGGTTTTCGGTTCAATTCATTGTCTTTGTTTGTGGGCTTTTTGTTTCTACGTGCGTAATAATATAATACGAAAAATTTATTAATTTTTATGGTTTATATTTTGTTGATTTCTTTTCGGACCCCGCAATCAGCTGCGTATGAGAAGTGTCTCGGCGGTAATCATCGGCCAGCAGCAGCGGCTTTTCGCAGCTGCTCAAATTTATTTGCGATAAGTTAGCGCCCACTTGTGGATACCCTACCCGCTTTATGCCCTACCATTTAGCATTTATCAGCTTAAATGCTTCATCATCTGGGCTTAATTAGCTTAGCCTTAGATTGACTTTACTGCCTTATCAACAATTAGCATTTCGGGCAGCTTAAATAATTTGGCTTATCTGATCCTTTCGCTGGCAAAAATTCCTAATCATTTCAGGCTTCTTAAAGCCCCAATAGTTCCGGTTCAGAGTTCTGGCCAGGGCACTTGCCAGTCTCAATTAACTTAGATCTTATCGGCCGAGATTGCCAGCTCCCTCTCTAAGGAATCCGCCTTATCGATGATGGACTCTCAAAGGGGGAAGAAACCAGTTTTACTCTCAAGTATTCTTAACCTTTTGCTGGCCCTCTGGGCTGCCAAAAAAAAAACCGAAAAAAAGCATTTCTTAGCTGTCGGTTCGCATTTGCTTTGTGGGCGCAAACGGAAATTTAATGAAGCGTTAATAAGTACCCAAACAGGCCCTTCAGAACAGTCAGCCAGTCGACCAGGCAGAAGAAAAGGGTCTTAAATACAACAACATCTAGAGATCGACAAAGGCTGGAATGTCATGTTCATATGTTGCCATGGATCCCAAGGGTCCAAACTTACGTTTACGATTGCTTTGACGCTTTTTGCATATCCCCAAGATACTTAAGGTCTGGTCGAGCTATGTATGTGGGGTAGGCAAACATCAGGCCTATAAACAGACCATGCTGGAGACCGCGAATTGTTAAATCCATCCAGTGTTCTCTCTCATTAGTGTTTGTACAGTTGTTGTAATTAGTGTTGCCTTTTCTTTTTTTTTTTTATATATTTTTATATTTTTTCATAGCCACAAAACTTCTTCAATCAAACGCCACGGACCCCGTAATTATTTCAGACCATTTTTTTCATTAAACTGTAATAATTCATTAGGGTATTATTATATACAAAGTGCTACACCATCCGAAGATTGAATATTGCAGATGACAGCGACAGCGCCCTTCCTTGTCTTGTACATTGTGTTGTTGCTGTTGCTGCTGCTGAGGCTGCTGCTGCTGCTGCTGCTGCTGCTGCTTGTTGTTCTTGCTGGAGCAGCTGTGGCCGAGGCAGAAACCAGCATCTGCGCCATCCGACTGCCACCAACACAAGTGATCTTACAGTCGCTCGCGTGACGCAGAGCCGATCATATTTGCCTGCTCCTCCTACGCGGATCCAGTCGGATCGCAGTCGCAGTTGCCATCGCAGCACTGTGGCTCACTCTCATACTATATATATATATATATGCTCGATCTGCAGAGCAAGGACCTCCTAATTTGTGGCAAGGCTTGGCCGCTTAAACGCCTTACAAATTGCGCAGGCGCAGCCCCGCCGCAGATTCAGTTTAGTGAACTTTTAAGATCGCGAGTTCGTTTCTCCTTTGGTGTTGCTTTTTGTCGCTGCAGGTTCTGTGGCAAGTTGATGTTGCGTCTGCGCGACATTTCAGTGCTAAATCAGTGGGCAGAATACCAGTGAAAACCTCCTCCTACTCAAAAGAAAAGTTATCAGTGAGAAAAAAAAAGTGCAATCATGTACCGCAAAATGTTGCCTTCCAGTGGAGATTTTCCTCACAGAAGGCAGCAGAAAGCAGCTCCACCCATGGCTTTCATGGAGGTAATCAAGGTGGGTGTTCTTTCTTCTCATAATTTAAATCTTTTTAAAATTAAAAATTGTAAATATGCCAGCAGCTAAAGTCATTTATTTACACAGTGTGTGGACCAGTGTGTGTTGTCATAAATTGGCTTCTTATTGGCCGACTCTAATTATTTTTTATAATGGCCAACTTGCGACCTCAATTGGTGTGCCATAAAGTTGTCTTAATTTTAAAATACAAGCCAAAGTTATGCTCTCAAAGTGCGCAGCATAGAGTTATTGGCCTGTTTTCAAAAATTGCAACAATAAAATATACTTTTAGTGCCTAATTATGATTTGATATGCTGCTAATTGGGAAATCATAACAAACAAAGGCATATTTAAGAGCTTTTTTATTGGGCCGTTTTGGCATTTAGCTGGCTAGGATCTCGGCACTCAGATCATCGACCAAAAAACCATTCCACCACCTTTTTTTTTTCGAGGTGCAATAAGACAAGAAAATTAGCAAATTCAGCGCTGGTTCAGCAAGTTTAATCGTCATTAAAATCAAACAAACATCTATATTTTAATAACATTTTTCAAAAAAACATATGTATCTGAGTTTTTTATATCGAATTAATGTCACCGAATTCTCAGGGACAATACAATAAATTAGAGTTAATTTGAGTGCAAATAACCCAATCGCTGGCTAGCAAAGCCGTTTGCATAATAAATTGCATACTTCCTGGAAGACCAAGACCAAGTCAGTGGTACGAAAATAGCCGTCGAGATCAACGCTCCCACATGTCGGCTCGGATCTCAGAATTATTGCCTTATGTCACAGAGACTAGCGGGCGAGGCACGAGCGTATATCATAGACATTTGGCAATTAGAGCCAAAAAAAAAAAAAGAATAGGAAAAAAGCGGAACAACTTTGGAACATCCAACCACCAGCTGAGAACACACAGACGATGGCAATTTTCCGAAAAGTCCCCGAAATTTGCTAGAGGCGTTCCCATTTTATTTGGTCATAAATCGGGCGTTGATGGCAACTTAATGAAGCAAGATACAGTGTCGAGGACGCCGTGCCACTCCTTAGATCAGTCTCAAGATATATCTCCTCCAGAACATATATACTCGTATATACCTTTTAGGATCACAGACTGGCAATTTAGTTTGGGAACCCCGCCAACACTGTCAATGGCCAACTGCTAATTGAAACAATAAACTTTTCCACTTTTCCGCTTTTCCGTCGTCGCTGAGGTCAAGTGCAGAGCAATGCCCACAGGGCGCCAGTGCATTGCTAAGATTCTTCCTCCACTCAAGAGATATTTTTGCAATTTGCATCGCATTTATCAGTTTGTCAAAATCCGTTGCAGATGGTTGCAATCGAGAACTGTGTTATTATTAGTTTGTTGGCACAGTCCTAGGGCTAGTCAGCTAGGAAAAATAATTTGAAATAGAAAAGAAAATAGAAAGCATATTAGTGTGTTCGTTTGTCTTGTGGAAATGGTATTCTAAAATTATTACCTAGAGAGCGAAAACAACGAAAAAAGAAGAACATTCGGCTAGAGGTGGGTGCGTGAAATTCATAGAGAAAGCTCTTCTGTATGAACCAAAGAGCTTGGATGACTTGGTCATGGAAACCCAACAGAGATCCTCTATAGGCACACACCCACTCCCTGTTACCTGCGCTCTCTCTCTCTGTCTCTCTCTTAACCTTGTGGCATTAGAATTGTTTACACTGGGGAAAAACGCTCGCGAAAAACTAAAGGGGAGAGCAGGAAAAACGCGAATGCGAATAGACTTAGTATGCTTCTCTGAAAACGTTCGGTCAGTCTTATTTCGAACTTCGCGCCAAGATATCTGCACAACTGCTGCAAAACGCCGACCGATCGCCGCATTTTTCTATATATGTATATATGCCGAGAACTTAAGCGAAATATTTTTAAAAATATCATAATTCGAGCGGGATAAATAAAATTGCAAATAAAAAGAGATCTTAAAGACAGTGCAGCGGAAGTGCAGAAATAATTTACGTTCAGAGTCTAAATAAAAATTGCATAATTTTATTGGGAAAAATGTCATTAATTTCTCAACGAAGTCGGAACAATTTCTAAAGATTTTTCAATTCGAAAGTGTGGGAAATTGAGAAAATAGTTTTTGAGTGAAAATATAAAATATACAGCAGAGTGCGAAGAACTGTCATTTCCGAGCTATTGACTCAGAGGTGAATATATTTTTGGACATTTTATTGATTTCTTTTGATTTTTGAAAATGGTTTTTAATTATGAAAAAACTGTTAAAAAGGAGAAATAAGAAATGAATGTAAAAATTGTATTGAATAAGCTACGAAAAAAAGAAAGTATTTTAATTTTGGCAAACCTTTTTAAGTAACTTAAAAATTCTTTTAAAAAATCCTACAAAAAAATGATACACCCATCTGAACGTAATTTAAATTATAAACTAACCACTAGAAGCCTAGTTTTATTACCACATATTATTAACCATATATCTTTCATCGTCAGTAATAAATACCACAATTTTCCAATACCATAACTTTATGCCTGAGAACCATATAACTTAGGGAAATTGCCTACACGCGGCGGCCACTAAAATGAATGTTGAAATTCCTTAAGAGTAAAACACTTGATAAATATTTTGTATAGAGCGTTTGTATAGGCCTAAGAAATCTATTTTAAATAGACATCTTACACGGCTAGCTGAATCGAATTGAGATTGAGGCAATGTTTATGCCGAACTTTCGCAGATTTCAGCGCCACTGGCGAAATAAAATGAAATTGAAATACAATAAAAATCGGAAATTAAGTAAACATGCCCTTTACTAAAAATAGTTAGGCTGCCTCTATAGGATGTGGCCAGGCCCCAAAAAAGAAAAAAGAAAAGATCAAAATTAATTTGTTAACTTTTTTTTGTATGATTTTTTTTCTTCTATTTCTTTCGTTCGGGTAAGCAAACAAAACAGAAAAGAAATGTGCGTAAAGAAAATGTTGGAAAAATAAACAAAAAACGCAAGAATTGTGCTAAAAAAAAAATTTAGACAAATGATGAGTGCTAGAAGCTTTGAGGTTAGATTTATGGGAAAATAAAATTTCCAATAGAAAATGCTTGGCGGTAGAAGAAAAAAAAAAAGTTGCCAAAAAAGAAATGCATGGCATGGAAACGAGAGCGATCGAGGACGCCAATGCCGGGTTCCCAAAATAGCACTGTCAGTTTTTTTTAAATTTACCATATATTTTTTGTTCTTGTTTTAGTTAAATGTTTATTTTAACTTTTTGTGTACTTTCTTTTTTTTTCTTTGCTTCTTTGCTTTTTTTCTTTGTGTGTATTTCTGCCAACGGACAGACAGTCAGACAGACAGACAGTCAGCAAGACAGACAGAAGCGTGTCAGAGTTTTTGATGTATGTATTTGTTTGAAATGAACTCTTGTGTGCAGCGAATTGAACGTTTGTCGGCTCGAGAACGGCCATAAAAACTATGATATAATATGGCCAGAAAACAACAACGAGGAAACAATAAAACTGCTTAATTAACTTGCCCAAAAACGAAGCCAAGCGAAAGCACAAGCTAAATGTTGAACAAATTAAAAAAAAAAATACAAAAAATACAAAAAATACAAAAAGTACACAAATGCAATAAAAAATCATGATATATGCAGGGCATAAACAAAAAATTATAAAAATACACCAGCAATTTGACAATAAGCAAGGCAAAAAAGAAAAAAAAGAAAGAACCCAAAAGCAATGCCAATAAAATATGTATTAAATATGTAAAATAATAAAATAAAAATAAATATCAGACAAAACACTAAAATAATAACTGTGGCACATGTGGGCCGATCCGAGTGCCTCTGTCTGGGGAAATATGTTTTCCGTTTGGATTTATTAGCTGCGACTAGACATCTTCTTATTTGACTTACATACATCCAACAGATACAAATGTATCTTAATGTTTCTCAAGAATTTTCCTCCTCCCAGTATGTGACATTTTTTTTGTTCTGTTAAGCTTTTTGGAATTAGTAGAACAGCCGGCGATGAATAAATAAATTCTACAAAAAATGCAAAAAAAAAGAAATGAAAACAAACCTAAAAAAAAGGCGTTAATTTTTTGCCAGCATCTCTGAGCCGCAAATAAATAACGCAGAAATGTTATTTTAAGACTCAAGCTAAGTGGTGGGTGTTAAAATGTTATAAATTTGCATTTAGCACAGTGCACTGGTATGGCGATTTAGGAAGCACTTTTCAGGCATTCCGAAACAACAATAGACTGTCGTAATGGGAAAGCCTTAATAGATACATCTAAGTAATGACAATAACAACGCCACTTTGGGTTTGCTGACAACTACGCATATGCTAAACAAAAGCCGTCAAGCGAAAAAGCCGTCAACACTGGAGAAAGAAACGTGTCGGAAGTTGCACGACAGCAAAACACGCTGATATTCTCATAACTCTCGTTAAACATTAATATAACATTTGTCTGATTACTTGCCTTACTTGACCCGTTCGTGTTTTTAAAGGCCTTTGTTGTTTTTAGGCCTGAACTCGCTTCCTTTGCTTCCGTTTGTATGTTCGATCGATTTAAAGGAGATCCTCCCCCTTCGGCAGGGCCATCAATTTTAATTATCGAACAAATTAATCAGTCGCAACTTTCGCATCATTAAGATTAATGATCCCGGTCAAGCTGGGTGGCAAGCAGCAAGCAGCAAGCAGCAAGCAGCAATCAGCAACACCAACAGCAATCGCCGCCTGTACAGCAGCAAACCAAGCTGCCAAATACCGAACGAATATGCAAAATAGCGCACTTGGTTGAACTCGAACTCGAACTTGAGTGTATCGCCAGTCAGTCAGTCAGCTAACCAAAAAACCTAAAAAAAAACTACACAAAAAATATTCAAGATCAAGCTGGGGATCAAAAGCGGACCAAATGAGCTGTGGCAAACGTGATTAGAGCGCCTATTAATTGCCTGTTTAATTAGAACTCAGATATGGCAACACGAGCGTGGAACAGGGGGTTTTCCCCACCGCCTCCCCATGGTAAATGCCCCAAATTCCCAACACCCAATCTTGTTTCGGAACCATAAATAATGTCGCGTTTTGAAAAGTGCACTGACCCGGCCAAAATAATTTTGATATGCTCAGACATATGCAGACGTAGTGGTACGAGTACGACTCACATGTATAAACTGCTTATGCGGGTAATATGCTCTGCCTGACTTTGGGGCTGATTCATATGTCCCGTTTGGCTGTTTCGTTGGGGTTTCGGGGAATCAGTGAAACGGGAATCGCCGCCAAAATCAAATTCATAAATGCATACGGCGGGGGTCAGTGACGTTCAGCCGTCAAATGTCGACGCTACTGACGTATCTGGCAGATACAAAATGTCCGGACTCGCCGTCCGTTCGCAGGGATATGCAATGAATAATTTATGAAATGCAGAGGAACTGCCGCAGAGATCTCAATGAACTGGGAATGGGGCAGAGGACAAACAGTATTGTAAAGATGCGAAGTTTTATTTAGTTTACATATACACTGAGAAAAGAAAACGAAACGATTAACCCTTTAAGTTACAAATTATTACTTCAAAAAGTTAAAAATGTCTCTTAAATTCCTTAAAAAGTTTTAAAGATTTATTTTTAAACTTCCTTTTCCTTAAATATTATACTCCTGCTTAATATCTACTCAAAAATTAATTAAATTATTATTTTTACATATTATTAATAAGTTTTTGAGGGCCTTTTCTCCCTGTGCATTTTCCCCTCCAATCCGAACTCGAACTTCGCATTTGGCATGCACTTCGAGTCATGGGCATGGTCTTAACTTGAGGGCCTGCTAATGAGGCGAAGTTGGCTGAATGACTGACTGAATGCCCAACTGACTGACTGAATGACTGACTGACAAAGCGTCTGAAATACGAGCACGAGCCCAGTGGCTCATGCAAATGTTCAGCGATTAAAAAGCCATAACTTACTGTATCAACGCAAAGCGTTGAGGTTAATTGACAGACAACCAGACAAACTCGCCCAGACACAGAAACAGATATATATATATACAGATATATACTGATATACAGACAGTGCTCTCAAATTAACACTGCACATAAAATAAAGCACAAAAAATGGCAATAATTAGAATAAATGCGACCGCTCGAAGGTTTCGCAAGGCTTTTCCGCATAGCTCGCGGAATGCAAGTCTGGCCAGACAGAGGCACATGATCTTCATGTTTCACATGCTGCTGCTGCTGCTGTTGCTTGCTCCCTGGGTTGGAAAGGTCCCATTGAGTACTCGGCTTCGCCGGAACCGAATTTAATACAAACTCGAACTGCTGATGGCTATTTCCAGGGAAGTTCTTTGCCTGTGGCTTTGAATTCTTGACGTGACTGGATGTCTTGAGAGATTCCCACCGAAATGCTTAGTCAGGAGGAATGCAAAACAAGAACTGGACATTGAAGAAATCGATCCTCCTCTTTGGTATATAACAAAAAACAAGATTGATATTCTTAATTTCTTACATCTTTTTAATGCGATGATTGATGGTGGCGCCATTCCACATCAGCGAAATGCATTGGGGGTCCAGTTGAGATCTTCTTCATAATTTTTCCTTTGATATTATTTTAATGCCAAGTGACTGGGACTGTGACAGTGACAGTGACAGTGACAATGACAGAGGCACCCCCACTTGGTTTCTTAATAAGGAAGGCATTGGAAAGTGACAGACTGACTGGCAAAACAACATACCCAGAATGGGATTGCGAGATTGCCTGATCTTTTCTCACATTCCGAAAAACTAATATGAAATTCCAGAAATCATTTTGTTTGGCTTTTGCGAAGCATAGGCAATGGGAATTAGCATTCCAATCGTATTATTTAATTTTGTTCTTGGCTCCCAGTTGGCTATTGATATGGTACTTTGTACGAAACCCCACTACGCGGGCATATATATAAAATTAATGAATCTCACCTGCGGGCTGTGTTTTCTTTCTGCCAGCCGCAGAGTCTTAATTGCCAAAGAGTGAATTTTCCAAGTCATAATTTTTTGGTTTTTCGGTGGTCCTAACATATTATAGTATAGTATTTGCTATTTTCAATGGCCGAGTGTGTGTGTGTGCCTGGTCAATGAGTCAGACCTTGGCCATTTACCTGTGAGTAAGTTCTGGCATTCAGTCAGGCCAAAAGTAAAATCACATAAATGTCTGACTATTTTCGTTTAAT